TTGCACATAAAGATAAAAACTCTAACATAAGCCAAGCTGATATTGTTAATTGGATAAAACAAACAATAGGTCTAGATATTCATCAAAGTACTATTAGCCATTTACTAAAAAATAAGAATACAATTGGAGAAAATCTCTTAGCAAAAAGACAAAGAACAGTTCAACATCCAGACCTTGAAGACACGTTGTATGAGTAAATTTTACAAAGTCAAAATCGTATAATACTATCTGATGAAATTATAATTGAAAAAGCAAAACATTTAGCTAAATTGTTTCATATATCTGAGAATAATTTCAAGTTCTCACACAGTTGGCTATACAAGTTCAAAAAAAGACATAGCTTAAAGTGAATAGTAAAATATGAAGAAGATGCATCTGTAGATAATGCCATTATTGAAGAGGCTCTTCCTCAATTAAGAGAAATTTTAAAAGAATATAACCTAAAGAACATTTATAATATAGATAAAACTGGATTATTCTATTAGTATTAAACAAATTATGCTATATAAATTAATGCTTACCTTAATTCATTTTTTTTTCTTTTACTTTTTTTTATATTTTTCTTTTTTTTTTATATTTTTTTATTTTTTAATTTTTTTTAATTTTTTTTTAATTTTTTTTTAAATTTTTTTTTTTTCTCTAAAGCCTAGAACCAGATAGTACACTAGCAACTGTTTGTCTTAAAGGGAAAAAAAAAGACAAAGAATGACTAACTGTAGCACTTTGTGCTAATGCTGATGGGACAGATAAAATAAGACCATTTGTTATTGATAAATTACCCAATCCATATTGCTTTAAATCTATTAAACATCATAATCTTGGTATTGTATATGATGCAAGTCAAAAAGCATAGATGACAAGTATACTGTATTAACAATAGCTTAAAAAATTTGATTCAAAAATGGCTGGTCGCAAAGTAATTCTTTTAATTAATGGAGCAAGATGCCATTCTTCTGGTAATTTAAAACTACATAATACAATTGTTCATACCTTCCTTCCAAATACAACATCTCATATACAACCTATGAATGCCAGCATTATAATGTCTTTCAAGCATCACTATCAAAGTTACTTTATAAAATAGTTACTCGATCGATATGAATCTGGAGATAATAATAATAAAATGGATGTTCTTACTGCTATAAAATTTATCGTTCATGCATGAAGAGAGGTGTCACTAACAACAATACAAAATTGCTTTAAACATACAAGTAAAGTTGGAATCTTTTTAATATATATTATAACTATTCAATAAATATTAGTAGTATAGTAGAATCGTTCTAATGATTATTGTAACTTGTTATAACTAGAGATAGA